CTGGCAGCCTTCATGAAAGTGAGTGACACTGCTTTTAATTCTTACAGTATCAACAAAACCAAAAGGGTTCCTGTGATTTACTGTAGTGTTTCATGTTACATGAAATATCTTAAAATTGCAAGTCATCACAAAAATTATTTGTGCTGTTTAACATTTTGGATTGAAAAGAATGAGTTCCTGAGTTATGGTTCTTCTGGCTTGTCTCCTTTTTTAGCCTGACATGTGGAAAAAGTGTCTGGATTGTATAGATGAGCTGCTGGACATTCTCTTTGAGCACAACAACATCTTCATTGGAGAGAACATCGCAGAGGACAGCGAGAATCTGGCCGTCTCCGATCAGGTGATCCCACTCATCCACCCCAAGCAATCTGTGGACTTAAAGAAAGAAAGCAGTTTAGACTAATAAAACACTCACATAGCTGTTGAACTGTCTGCATTTGTATCAACTGTCTTGTGAACTATGGGCTGGTATTCATTTCTTTGTGTGTATTTGTTAGCCTTTCAGGGTGCGCGGATGCATCTTAACCCTGGTAGAAAGGATGGATGAAGAATTTACAAAGATCATGCAGAACACTGATCCCCACTCTCAGGGTGAGTGGTGCCAAAACCTGAGTGACGATTATTAACTGCTGTGAGGGTGAATGTGTTAGGACTGTAAATGTGGATTAACGGGTTGCAATCTAAAATGTGGGATTTACATCACCCTTGAAATTTGTATTGCTGTATTTGCTGCTCACATGGATGTATTTTGCTTATTCTTTCCTCTCTTTTTTTTTAAATCTTCCTTCAGAATACGTTGACAATCTCAAAGATGAGGGCAGGGTTTGTGGCATCGTTGACCGGCTGCTCACCTACATGGAGAACAAAGGCTCCACAGAAGAAATTTGCCGTGTCTACCTGCGCAGAATCATGCACACCTACTACAAGTTTGACTACAAAGCTCACAGACGCAGCCTGGGCCTGCAGGGAGAGACCAAGGTGAGAGACGGCACTGTGCAGAATCAGAACTTTCTTTTCTTGACAAACATCTGCATCATGATGCTATTTTTATGATGTTTAATGAAATGTTATGCATAAGGTGTAAAATGGTGTGCTGAAGTGTTTTTCTGTTGTGTAGTCCGAGCAGGACCAGGAGGAGAACAAGGAGGAGAACAAGGAGGAGAACAAGGAGGAGAGCGAGGGAGAGGACAGCGCTGTGATCATGGACCGCCTCTGCAAGTTCATCTACGCCAAGGATCGCACCGACCGTATCCGTACCTGTGCTATCCTCTGCCACATATATCACCATGCTCTGCACTCACGCTGGTACCAGGCACGTGACCTGATGCTGATGAGTCACCTGCAGGACAACATCCAACACGCTGACCCACCTGTACAGGTAGGCACTCGTAATCATTATTTCTTCATATCATCGTCATCATCATAGTTTATTTATATAGCACTTATAGTCACGCCTTGAAAGAAAAGGTTTAACCTTCGACAGACCCCTGAGTTGATAGAATGATGATTTCACCACCCCATTCCCGTGGCCATCAAAAGTAAGTGCAGAGTCGATTTTTAACCCACGATTGGTAATCGAGCTCTTCAGGTGAGGGGTCAGAGCAGCAAGGTCAACATCAGGGATATCAGAGGAACGATTCGGGCCAAACAGAATTGCTTCCGTTTTACGTTCATTAAAATTTAAAAAAGTTTAGAGCCATCCATGACTTAAAATCGCTAAGGCAATCAAGCAGGAGTCTAATTGTGGAGCTATCAGAACGACTGAAAGAAAAATAAAGCTGGCAATCATCAGCATATAGATGAAATGAGACTTTGTGTTTACGAAAGATTGCACCCAGTGCCAGGAGATACAACGAAAACGGTAATGGCCCAAGAATAGATCCCTGTGGTACACCCCATGGCAGAGGGGCCACAGAGGACGATGATGAACCCAACTTAACACAGAAGCTCCTGTTTGAGAAATATGATTTTATCCACAGGAGTGCCAAGACAGAAATGCCCACACAATGCTGTAATCGAGAGATCAGCAGGTCGTGATCCACTGTGTCGAATGCAGCAGTCATATCTAGAAGTATAAGCACTACGTGTTTACCGCAGTCCGTCGCTACCAGAATATCGTTCATAACCTTTATGAGAGCTGTCTCTGTGTTATGAAACGGCTTAAAGCCGGACTGAAAAACTTCAAACATTTGAGAGTTATTTAGATAATATGAACGTGTTCTGACTCTAACTATTAGTTGTATATACAGATCGCCTGTTTTAACCGTTTTCCCCTCCTCCTACCAGATCCTGTACAACAGAACAATGGTCCAACTTGGCATTTGTGCATTTAGGCAGGGAATGATTAAAGATGCCCACAATGCACTGCTGGACATTCAGTCCTCTGGCCGTGCCAAGGAGCTGCTGGGTCAAGGTCTGCTCATGAGGAACATGCAGGAGAGGAATGCAGAGCAGGAGAAGATTGAAAAGCGAAGACAAGTAAGTGCTGTCTGACCAGAGCAGTTAACTCTAACTAACATGTTGGTTTCTCTGTCAGTGTTGACCTGCTTGTAACCTGGATTTACTCTGTGAGTGAGTGAATTTTTGGGCCCCTTTCTCACAGCTGCAGGACAGATTTCCAGAAGATTTCATACAATTGTTCATGTGCACTTGGTGACTAGTTACTTTTTTGTTTTTTCCCTAAATGGGCCTTGACCTCACATTAATGTGCCAACTATTCCATGGTGTGTCCACAATAGTGTGAAATCAAGGCTGTAATGAAACGACAAATGTTTGGGTCTTTATTTTTAAAACACTGATGTGTCAGACATCCATTAGATGATACACACATGCATCGTGACGTTTATCCTCCCTAATAGGTGCCGTTCCACATGCACATCAACCTGGAGCTGCTGGAGTGTGTGTACCTGGTGTCAGCCATGCTGCTGGAAATACCCTACATGGCCGCCCATGAGTTTGATGCCCGCCGCCGGATGATCAGCAAGCAGTTCCACCACCAGCTCAGGGTCGGGGAGAGACAGCCCCTGCTAGGTACGAAACGCATCACGAGAGCTCGTTGTAGCAGGAAGTTTCATCCACAGAGGATAACCACAGCTTTATTTGTCCTCCAGGACCCCCAGAGAGCATGAGGGAGCACGTGGTGGCAGCCAGCAAAGCCATGAAGATGGGAGACTGGCGTACCTGCCACTCTTTCATCATCAATGAGAAGATGAACAGTAAGGTTTGGGACCTGTTCCCTGAGATCCAGAAAGTACGCGAGATGCTCGTCAGGTTAGCATACACTGCCCCTGTTCATCACTTGGTTCATTCACCAGTGTGATAATCCCACTTAGACGTCCTTATGTTTTGTTTTTTTAATAGGAAAATCCAAGAAGAGTCACTGAGGACCTATCTGTTCACCTACAGCAGTGTATACGACTCCATCAGGTGAGCACAGATGTATTAGTTTCATCAGTCTTTACTAAACCACAGATTTCTGTAGACCACTGCAGCTTCCCCACAGACCAAAGATGATCGGTCACTGTTCTGCCAAACCTTAATTTTACTACGCTTGTCTGTCCTTCAGCATGGCTACGCTGTCTGAGATGTTTGAATTGGAGATGCCCACAGTCCACAGCATAATCAGCAAGATGATCATCAACGAGGAGCTGATGGTAGGACTCGACGTTTCTGTTCTGTGGACTGAAAATATAGACACAGCAGTCTCATGGGGGCTTTTATATTTGAGAGTGTTTATATTTGTGATTACTTTTTATATGCCTTTAATTTGGATCCCCCCATTTTTCTCTTCCCAACAGGCGTCACTCGACCAGCCCACACAGACGGTGATGATGCACCGCACTGAGCCAACGTCTCTGCAGAACATGGCTCTGAAGCTGGCAGAGAAACTGGGCAACTTGGTGGAGAACAACGAGCGCGTATCTGACCTGAAACAGGGCATCTATGGCGGTTACTTCAACAGGGGTAAGTTCATCATGTTCTCACAGTACTTAGGGATCGTTAAATCTGGAACTTATTTCTAACCTTTCTGAACCATTTATTTTCCAACTTTTGCTATTAGATGATAATTAGCTTTCATTTGTCATACAGATCAGAAAGGTGGCTACCAACAGAAGCAATCCTACCAGAGAGGTATGTTAAATTTCACTGAGGTCGTTTCCTGTTTTATGTCAATGAGGTAGATGTGGGTTGGGTTCTCTTTTCAGCAGTAGATGCTATTTTAAATTCATCCATCAGTATTACACCTTTGTGGTTTGTTTTTTTCTTCTTTTCTTGTAGTTTAGTGAATTTGTGTGAACACTAATGAGATGATTGTTGTCTTTGTACAACCGCAGATGGGAAATCTTACCAGCAGAAGCAGTCGGGTTACCAGAGAGGCGGTTACAGGAATCAAAATCAAGGAAATTACTGAGCTTGAAGTTTGTGGATTTCAGTTTTTACAGCAGAGCTGGTCTTCATTCCAAGACAACATCAGTACCTCATTTTGTGAGTTTGGCTCTTGGCCGTGCTCCCTCAATGAAACTGTTTTGCTGCTGTTTCTATGTCAGTTAGCATTGCTTTGTGTCAGCAACAGCAGAATGTGATATTACATTTCTGTCAATTTCTTGGAATAAATCTGGAGTTTTATTATTTTAACAGATTAATAAATAAATATTAAACAGTGTTGTGTTTTGTTTGATTTTTGTTTGGGGTTTTTTTTGCAGTGATAATATAAATTCAGTACATGTATGGAAAACTAAAAGCATATCATTAAAATCAGTCTCAGTCCACCTGCTTTAAGATGCTTATCAGTGGATTGAGGGTGAATTAAAAAGTGGTACATCTTTTGTTGCCTACATATAAGTCATTGCATTTTGTACAATGCTTTGGACAAGTACAATACTTTAATTCACAAGAAAAGACATGCAGTCTGTCTGCTAACTAAAGCTACAGAGGCTCTATAAAGAGGACTGTGTGTGTGTGTGTGTGTGTGTGAAATTATATTTATTATATAAAAACCGGAAAAAAAGCATTTCGATTATGCTTTAAACAAAAATCTTGCAAAAGCAGCTTAGTCTGTAGAGAAGTTTGGATCTGTTGCTTAAGTCTAGTTTTATAAATCCTCACCTGTAGGTTACAGAAAATTCTGAGCATCATGTTTTCCTTTTTTGTGAAATTTGATAAGCATTTCACACATTAAAGTATATGAAAGCAATCTTTTGATTTTCTGTACATCAAATACCACCTCGATTACGTTGCTGTCTCAGCGTGTCACAGCTCGTCTCACTGACTCCTCGTTGTGAGTGGCCACTATGAACCTGTACCGCTCAGGTTCCTGCGACATGACATCCAGCATCACATCAAGGCATCCGTTATAACTGTTCAAGCAGACGTGAAATGTATCAAGAGTCGAATCAAGATCAAAAATGATTGGCGATTGTTATACTCCGGAGGTTTTCGTTCTGTCTTACCAGCCTGTCATTGGTGTCCTCCCAGCTCTGATGGATGGGGTCCTGGTGACCCTCTTTCATCGCTAGTTTTCTCTCTTTGTCCATGTAGGCTCCTCTCACCAGCTTGACACCCAAACAGAAACACTCATTCTTGGATAGAGACAGCGCGTCTAAGAGGAGAGACCTGGAGTCCTGATAACCACAGAATTTAACCACAGACACAAAGAATTATAATTAAAACCATTAACTGCCAGTGAAAGTAACAAAGTGTCTGATATTTGATGATAAAATGAGAAGAGAAATAGAGATAGTTGCCTTCAGGTAACATTGATATGTGTTCCAGATCCAGAGACCATCTTTGTTAAAAAGAATCACTTTTTATTTAAAAATAAAAAATTGCATCTACACTCATTAAATTTGCTTCATGTAGTCAAAGTTGGCTTATTGTGCTTCTCTCCGTTTTCTCCATAAATATTCAATTACAGTTGTGCCTGTTTTTAAAATAATGTAATCCCTAACTATGTTTTCTATACTTCTATACAAACTGACATCACTTTGGTATGGTCTCCCTTTTATAATCACCTCAGGCACAGTCAGAGCTACAGTTTTGACCCTGACTGAGGAGATTGAGTTTACAAACGCCAAAAAAAAATATTTTTTGCATTATAAAAATAGTTGTTTTTCTTTTTCAATCACCCATCTTAGCAGTAGGATATACATGAAAAGAGAAACAAATTAAGTTTGAGTGAAAATGTAAATTTTTTGCACTCTGGTCAACTGACTCAGTGACTCAAATGACTCATTCAAACTCTATTCAGTAAGAAGAATCGAATTTACCATCACTAACCGAGACAGCGGTGACGTAAATCTGAAGGCTAGACTATCCAATTTCACAGCCTCGCACTTCCGGCCTTCGAAGGACCCGGCCCAGGTAGACCGTGAAGGCCGGGTCCTCCTTTTGCGTGATGACGTCAGCACACTTCCTGTCCTCACGCGAGTAACAGTTGTGCCGCACGCCTTTTCTGTGCCTGCTCATACAGCAAAACTGGATTTTAAAACAGCTTAAACGAAACATCACTTTCACCCGGTCGTAGGTGAGTTTGGCTCAGTAAGATTTAAGATAAGAGTGTGTGACTAAGCGATGCTTATTTACCGGCTGCACAAACGAGGAGACCCCATGCTTTCTTGTTAGGGTGTTAGCTTAGCAACAACCCCGCGGCACGTTTGTGTTCCGTTATCTGATATGATACAGTTAACTTGTACCCTTGTTAGCTGCTGTTATTTGGCGTAAAGCATTTTGGGCACGGCGTGTAACCTATACTGCAATTTGGTTTTCATTTGCTTTGTTCACTCTAATCCAGTCTGTTTAGCCTGTATGCTGGCATTAGCCAAATAGTCTGCGGTATAGACGCATGTAAGCGTCAGCACTAAGGCCGGTGGACGTTTTTTTTTTTTTTTTTTTCTGGAAAATAATTAAAACATCATACACACTACAGTTGCAAAAGAAAAGAGAAACATTGGAGACTGAAGAAGTCAGTTGGATGAGTGATGAAACGTTTCTCCCATCGAAAACGCTACGTCCAGATGAGCAGAATCAACTTTTGGAGAAACGCCGGTTCCTTGTTTGCCGGTTGCTGCATCAATAACTATCTAATACTGGCCAACCAGATAGCAGCTGGGGTGAAATTAAAGGCTTTAGCACTGTTATAGGCCATCACGTTAGCAACTTTTAGTGGAACCTACAGTATTATTTGTCCCAGGTTTTTTATTATTATTATTATCATCATCATCATCATCATTACCATTTTATTCTTGGCGGGTGTTTAACGCCGTCCAAGTAATAAAACACCCTCTATATCAGGGGTGTCAAGCTCAACTACACAGTGGGCCAAAATTCAAAACTGGAACAAAGTCGCGGGCTAACATTAATATTTATTGGGGGAAAAAAAAATCTTACTCCAGATATAAGAATGAATCTTTTCTTATGGACTCAGACAAGTTTTTCTGAAAAACTGAATATGGAACAAGCAAAGCTTAATACTAAACAATATATATATTAGCTGTATAATACCAGTAAGCCAGCTCTAGTAGTAATTTGGTATGGCTTCGTGGGCCAAATGTAATTAGGCTGCGGGCCAGAGTTTGACACCTATGCTCTATATGGAGCCAGAAATTTTTATTTATGTGTTTGAGTATATTGAATGGATTTACCATTTTCAAATGTGGAGTTGCATAGTAGACCAGTGTTTCCCAACTGGTGTGCCGTGGAAGATCGTCTGGTTCCACCTGATTAGTACCTGGGTCAACACACCTGAATCAAATGATTAGTCCATTAATAGGGCTCTGGAGAATTTAAAGACATGTTGAGGAGGTAATTTAGCTATTTAAATCAGCTGTGTTGGATCAATGACACATCTAAAACCTGCAGGACATCGGCCCTATGTTTTAAAAGAAAAAGTAGTCAGTCTGACCTGGGTCTTGGAGAAAATCCCAACCCGGATGAAGGCCCTAGCATGAGTAGTGGTAGAAGAAAGCAAAAAAATGTATACTGGGGACTAGGGCTGTTTGATTCAATGATATATATCGGATGACGATATAAAAACTTCTATCGTTTCATTTTACGCTATCGTTTGTTTCGTGGTGTCGCAAAATGAACTGTTTACGGCAATATTTTTTTCATCGTTTTGATGGTCACTGTAGTGGCTATATTAATTTATTAAAGTTCTATCTTTCTCATATATTTAATATAACCATACTATGGATGGACAAGCGCCTGTTTTTATGCCTTGTCGTTAGCAACAACGACGGTAAAACCATTGCGTCTGCTGGTTTAGTTCCACATAAACCTTTCACAATAAAGCTAAAGATCCATTTGAGACTTTTGAAAATAAACTGAATCACGTGAAAAGGTTTGGAGAGCATTTATGGATGAGAAGCCAAAAAGAGCAGTTCAGGTGCTAAAGAATAAACCTTAGAGTTAAACATTAGAATAGGCTTTTATCCGCAGAACGCTGTGTAATAAATACTCACAAAGAAAACAGCGGCCGTTACAACTTATGTCTAAAAATGTATAGTTTCATGCATTAGTTAAAACACTCCCCTCCAGGTACACGACGCCCAGCTAGAAACACTTCACATGAGTCGAGCTGCCCGAGATTCACAGAATTTACGGAAAATGTTAAGTTTTTGTGATTTATATAATTATCGGGACGTCTTATATTGGGATAAGAGATTTTGGTCATATCACACAGGGGACAAACACTATACCTGGCGCGTGGGGGAAAATTACCAATGTGCTTTTTGTGACACTTTTGTGTGGTACCGTGTGATTTTCTTTTTTCTAATGTGAAATATGTGCCAAGGTTGGGAAACCCTGTAGCAGATTATGTGTGGTTCAAGTTTAATGAACAAAAGATCCCTGATCACTAATAAGAATGGACACAAATCCCTTTCAGGATGCATAAGGAAGGGAATACAGTCTTTTTCTTCTTTCTTTTTTTAATCTCCCAAACTACAGTGTGGTGACCCCCTTTGTGATTAAGGGACTTAAAGCATCAGCTTCTTCTTCTTTTCTTTTTAAAATAGATGCACATAGAGCAGGGTGATATGGCCAAAAATTTATATCACGATATATATTTGAAAATTTGCGATAACGACATAACTGACTGTATAATTTCTGGGAGACAAAATACAACTCCACAACTTTACTAGCGCAAAAAAAACCCCATCCATTTATTTTCACTTAAACAAGCAGCTGTTTTTTTATGTGCATTAAAGCTATATACAAATTTAACAGTGCAAATGCAAATTCCTTGCTGAAAGTTTAACCAAAAGGCATTTCCAGTAGAAATGGGCTGACATATCCTGAGCATAACCATGTATAATAACCACTGAAGTTAAAAAGAGGTGCTTTGCAACATTATACTGCAGTGTGCCAAATAAAAAAGTAAAATATGTATTTTTCAGACTATAAGGTGCACAGGATTATAAGGCACATTAAAGCGAAACAAAGCAGTCAGATAAATCAAACTTTATTAAACTCATTCTTCTTGCTTCCTCCACTTCTGTACCATTGATTCATTAATGCTGTATTCTATCACAGCTACTCTATTCCCATGTTGCTGCAGTATATTAATGACTAACCTCGTATTGTGGATGGATTATCTCAGTTGTTCTCCTGACTGAAGTTTGGTCCGTTTACAGCATCCTGCCATTCGATAGCAGATGTCTCTAACCATCAGGAACCTTCACGTTAACTTTTATCGAGTGGAAAAGTGTTAGAGTTCATCCTCCAGCTTCACTGTTTATGTTATGCTAACATAGCATAGCATACTGCCTAGCCCAACTTCAGTAACCCTACAAACGTCACTGCTGTTTAGTTTCCTGTCTTCGTTTATGTTGGAAGTGATAGCAGAGCTGTACGTTTGAATTTTTTCAGAAATCTCTCAGTCAGAACATGCAATATCATGCTTAGGTAACTAGCAAAACTAGCGAGCTAACTTCCCATAACTTACTGCTAACTTCTAACTCCGTTAAATGTAATAAATTCTGTTTTCATGGATGCCTGGAAGTTAAACTTCATAATTACACCTGGTAAAGCAGCAATGCTGATCGTTTTATTAAAGTTGAAAGAATTTAGACAGTTTTTAACTCTCAGTGATGCTGGACCTGAAGTCCACAGAGTTTAGGACCCAGATTACTCCCAGATTTACGAGCACCTTAGTCTGACAAATACGGGAATAACAACGGCCCACTTGCATGTTCTACAAAAAAAAATGTTCTTTGTGTGTATCTGTCAGACAAACACCAAACCAGTTCCACATCACTGAAGCTGCACCATTTTCACAAACCAATTCTGGTTCATCCGTTTCACCCAACAATCCACTTTCCCCCTAATCATTCTCTGTTGCCGCCGTGCTTTTTTGGCCATGTCTGTATGAAAACAAAGGCACTGCGCATGCGCGTTTTACCCATATTCTATTGTGATATTTCATTTTCTTATCGTTGCCTAACATTGTACCGGTATTATCGTGAACGGTATAATATGGCCCAGCCCTAGATGCACAGTGATTATCTTTGTCAGCTGAATGTGTGCTGATAGAACATATGTAGACTCTGGAGCTGCATCTTTGTAATACCACTCATTACTTTCTGTACAGATTGGCAGCATCCTTCAGCAATGTCTCGATTTTTTGCCACTGGGTCTGACAGTGAGTCAGAGGAGTCCTCATCTGCCGATGAGATCACCCCTAAGGCACCCGGAGCCACTTTCAAGCAGTAAGTGAAACTTGGAATAAATCTCATCACAAACTCATCACATACATTGTTCTTCCTGTAAAGATCTGACTTGTGCACTTGGTTTTCACAGGTCGCTGCTTCTTAGCGACGATGAGGAGGACACAAAAAGAGTGGTGCGCAGCGCCAAAGATAAAAGGTTGGTGTGGTATTTTTAAAAGGTCACAACTTTAAAGTCTATACAAAATTTTGCCCCTTTTTTCTTTTTTTTGACTAAATTTATTCTTGAATCTTAGGTTTGAAGAGTTGACGAACCTCATAAAGACTATCCGCAACGCTATGAAGATTCGAGACATGTCCAAGTGTCTGGAGGAGTTTGAGCAGCTTTGTCGAGCCTTCCTTAAAAGCAAGAATATAGTGGATAAAGAGGGTGTTCCTCCCTTCTATATCCGCCTTCTGGCTGACTTGGAGGACTACTTGAACCAGGTTAGTAGCTTGGACAAAAAATTAAACTGCAATTTAATGATTTAATTGTCATTGTATTTGTCCTAATCAAATACTTAACATTATTTTTACAGCTTTGGGAGGATAAAGAGGGGAAGAAGAAGATGAACAAGAACAATGCAAAAGCTCTCAGCACCCTGCGTCAGAAGATCCGCAAGTACAACAGAGACTTTGAGTCAGAAATAGCAGCATACAAGGAGGTAAAGTCAAAGACTAAATCTTCATGTTTATTTTCTATGCATTGTATGAATCTCTGGGGGGGTGTAAACTTAGGTCTCATCAGATCTGTTCTGTGGTCAAAAGACTGTCAATGTGCTGAGCAGCTTCCTTCTGGTGTTATTTAATCTGGTGTATTAGAATTTATACGAATTTCAGCCTTAAAAAAAGCAGTTATCAGAATGTCTTGTCTCTCTCTCCCTGCTAGAATCCACAGGAGTCTGCAGATGAGGAGGAGGAGGAGAAGGAGCCAGAGGACTCTGGTGAGCTGGTTGTTTATACAGGTTATGTGTAAAGGATTCAACCCGGAAAGCATAGGATTCAATAGGGGCATAGGTGAAATGTGTCTATGTGTAGTGCACGTGTCAAGTCTCATCATGAGTGATCAATCATTCTTGTACATCAACCTGTAGGCTGCCAGTGAAAATGGGCTTATTAAAAAGGACTGTTGAAGGTCCAGCTCCATGATATATTATACATATATTATACAGAATCTGAAGTTTAACTGCAAAAACTAAGCTGATTTTAAAAGTTTGTTCGGTTGAAACTTTTGACTGTTTTTAATCTACTCAGAAGAAACTCCAGCAGCAGATTAATCAGTTATAACTAATGAAGTTTAGAATGTTTTACATAAATTATGAAGTTTACTTTGTACATTATTACTTAAAAACTCAGTTTAAGAGTTTTTTGCCCCCTTTCATTACTTCATTCTGTGCTTCAGTCAGTCACATTTTCACGTGCTGTACAAAGATTAGCTGCAAATGATGAGATGATCAATGTGTGTTGGTGCTGAGGGGAAAGGAGCCAGCATCGTCTGATTTGTCTTTTTGGTCCACAAGGCTCGTCCTCTGACAGTGAAGGAGAGGTGTCATCAAAGTCCTTCTTGAAGAAAAAGCCTGAGGCGCCTTCAGAAGCCACCAAGTTTCTAAAGTCTGCCAAGGGATCTGGGGTAAGAGGTCATTTAACTAAACTACAGCAAGAAAAGCGGAAGATCTGGTGGGAAAGACACAATACTTGTACAGTTACTTGAGCTAAGATTTAGAGTTTTTCCCTCTAAGGATGAGTCTTCTTCCTCTGATGAAGATGATGACGATGATGATGATGAAGACTGGGGCTCAGACCAGTCAGGCAGCAGCGGTGAAACCTCTGATAAGGAAGAAGGAAAGACCTCATCCATGTCTATGCTCTTCCTCAAGAAGTGAGTTTTTCTCTATTTTGTGTTGCACAAAAAAATGTATGCAAGTTCTAAATACTTCAGAAAACTTTTGAAACACTTTTTAGATTTTAAGTCAAATTTTACCGCAGAGAGAGTCATGTAGAGTGAATGTGTTGTTACCAAACACTGCGTCTGTCCTCAGGTCCCAGGACACTGAAAAGCCTGGAGTCAGGAAGGAGGAGAGGAAGAAGAAACTCAAACAGAAAGAACGAATTGAGGAGGAGGCTGAGGAGGAAGGAGGCGAGGAGGCCGGGGGAGGCTGGGAGAAGGTTAAGGGAGGAGTACCTCTGGTTAAGGTAAAGAACAGATGGTAATATAAAACTGTTTGGACTTGATGCCGGCCGGACAAGAATAGATGCACCGGTGCTGTTTCTTATTTTAGTTTAGCTTGTTTGTGTTTCAGTGCCGACGTGTTCATTTATAGTAATGACAGTGATAAAATCAACATGCAATTGTCTGGCTAATTTAACAAAATCAATGACTGTAAAAAGAAAAACTTGCCTCTAAGAGTTTATTCAACACGTTGTTTGTATTTTTAATTTTAAGTTTGTTTGTTTTTTCCCCCATTGCGACCATTCAGGAGAAACCCAAAATGTTTGCTAAAGGCACCGAGATCAACACAGCGGTGGTGGTGAAGAAGCTGAATGAGATCCTGCAAGCAAGAGGCAAAAAGGGAACAGACAGGTAGACCAGGGCGATATGGCCAAAAATATTTATCACGATATATATTTGAAAATTTGCGATAACGATATAACCGACGATATAATTGATGCGAGACAAAATACAACTCCACAACATTACTAGCGCAAAAAGACAACCTTCCATTTATTTTCACTTAAATAAGAAGCTGGTTTTTATGTACATTAAAGCTTTATAAAAATGTAACAGTGCAAATGCAAATTCCTTGCTGAAAGTTTAACCAAAAGGCATTTCCAGTAGAAATGGGCTGACATATCCTGAGCATAACCATATATAATATCCACTGAAGTTAAAAAGAGGTGCTTTGCAACATTAAACTGCAGTATGCAGTACGTATTTTTCGGACCATAAGGTGCACGGGATTATAAGGCACATTAAGCGAAACAAAGCAGTCAGATAAATCAAACTTTATTAAACTCATTCTTCTTGCTTACTCCACTTCTGTACCATTGATTCATTAATGTTGAATTCTCTGGCAGCTGCTCTATTCCCATGTTGTTGCAGTATATTAATAATAATAATAATAATGGATTAGATTTATATAGCGCTTTTCAAGGCACCCAAAGCGCTTTACAATACCACTATTCATTCACTCTCACATTCATACACATTAATGACTAACCTCGTATTGTGGATGGATTATCTCAGTTGTTCTCCTGACTGAAGTTTGGTCCGTTTACAGCACCCTGCCATGCGATTGCATTTGTCTCTAACTATCAGGAACTTTTTAACGTTAACTTTTATAGGTGGAAAAGTGTTAGTGTTCCTCCTCCAGCTTCACTGTTTATGTTATGCTAACATAGCTGTGTCGCTAGCGATTACGTAGCACATCATTATATACCAGCTAGCCCAACTTCAGTAACCCTACAAACGTCACTGCTGTTTAGTTTCCTGTCTTCATTTATGTTGGAAGTGATAGCAGAGCTGTACGTTTGAATTTTTTCAGAAATCTCTCAGTCAGAACATGCTATATCATGCTTAGGTAACTAGCGAAACTAGCGAGCTAACTTCCGCTAGCTTCCTGCTAACTTCTAACTCTGTTAAATGTAATACATTTTGTTTTCATGGATGCCTGGAAGTTAAACTTCATAGTTACACCTGGTAAAGCAGCAATGCTGATCGTTTTATTAAGGATGAAAGAATTTAGACAGTTTTTAACGCTCAGTGATGCTGCAGTGTTCGTTTGAACTGAAGTCCACGGAGTTTAGGACCCAGATTACTCCCAGATTTAAGAGCATCTTAGTCCAACAAATACAACAATAACGACGGCCGCTTGCATGTTCTGCAAAAAAATGTGCTTTGTCGTGTATCTGACGGACAAACACCAAACCAGTTCCACATCACGGAAGTTTCACCATTTTTACAAACCAATTCTGGTTCATCTGTTTCACTCAACAATCGGCCATGTGCGTATGAAAACAAAGGCACTGCGCATGCGCGTTTTACTCATATTCTATCGCGATATTTCATTTTCCTATCGTTGCCTAACGTTATACTGGTATTACCGTGAACGGTATAATATGGCCCAGCCCTACAGACAGGTACGACTGCATTTATCACTAAGACTACGTTCACACTGCAGGTCTTAATGCTCAGTTCCGATTTTTTGATCAAATCCAATTTTTTTGTCTGCTCGTTCACACTACAAATAAAATGCGACAGCAAACGCACTCTAGTGTGAACGCTCAAAGCGGCCCGCATGCGCAAAAGAAGACGTCACACACAACGCGCTCTGTTTAGACCCAGAGAAAACAGTATTGTTTGACTGATGGCCTTAATATAAAGACTTCGGACTTCATGTTAACCAATTTTTGCTTTAAGTTATTTTGTTATTTACATAATAATGTAGATAACGTAATAGTTATCCTTATTGCTGTTTTAGAGGAGCGGTGCTTCAAAGGATAGTTACAGATTTCTGTCAGAATCTGCAGGTTATACAGTACAAATAAAATGTTAATGTTTCTCCAACGTTGTCTTCCCAGCAGTTTCACCGGATGGCCAGGAAGCGTTCGCGATGTCTTCTCCGGTGCTGATAATTGGCGTCTGTCTTGTGTCAGTGACGTAAAAGACGGATTTAATGCGACTTGACCGTTCACACAGCAGTCGCTTTCTGAAACATCGGATATGTATCGGATTCAGTACCACATACGAAAGTGACCCAGATCGGATTTGAAAATATCGGATTTGTGCCGTTCACACTGTCATACCATGATCGGATATGGGTCGCATAGGGTCAAAAAAATCGGATTTGATGCGCTTTCGCCTGCAGTGTGAACGTAGCCTAAAGCTTAAAAATATATATTTTAAAAAAGTTACGTATTCACAGGACTGTTGATAAAACCAGGCGTGTCATGTGGAAGTATGTCCAGTATATGAATTTCAGAGAAATTCTTCTCCTGAACAAATCCTGACTCCTTTTTTTCTTTTTTCTCCTCCCTCACTGATAGGGCGGCTCAAATTGAGCTATTTCATGCTCTGGCAGCCATCGCTGCAGAGAATAACTTGGGCCAAGGTATCCTGGTCAAGATCAAGTTCAACATTATTGCCTCCTTGTACGACTACAACCCCAACCTGGCAGCCTTCATGAAAGTGAGTGACACTACTTTTAATTCTTACAGTATCAACAAAACCAAAAGGGTTCCTGTGATTTACTGTAGTGTTTCATGTTACATGAAATATCTTAAAATTGCAAGTCATCACAAAAATTATTTGTGCTGTTTAACATTTTGGATTGAAAAGAATGAGTTCCTGAGTTATGGTTCTTCTGGCTTGTCTCCTTTTTTAGCCTGACATGTGGAAAAAGTGTCTGGATTGTATAGATGAGCTGCTGGACATTCTCTTTGAGCACAACAACATCTTCATTGGAGAGAACATCGCAGAGGACAGCGAGAATCTGGCCGTCTCCGATCAGGTGATCCCACTCATCCACCCCAAGCAATCTGTGGACTTAAAGAAAGAAAGCAGTTTAGACTAATAAAACACTCACATAGCTGTTGAACTGTCTGCATTTGTATCAACTGTCTTGTGAACTATGGGCTGGTATTCATTTCTTTGTGTGTATTTGTTAGCCTTTCAGGGTGCGCGGATGCATCTTAACCCTGGTAGAAAGGATGGATGAAGAATTTACAAAGATCATGCAGAACACTGATCCCCACTCTCAGGGTGAGTGGTGCCAAAACCTGAGTGACGATTATTAACTGCTGTGAGGGTGAATGTGTTAGGACTGTAAATGTGGATTAACGGGTTGCAATCTAAAATGTGGGATTTACATCACCCTTGAAATTTGTATTGCTGTATTTGCTGCTCACATGGATGTATTTTGCTTATTCTTTCCTCTCTTTTTTTTAAAATCTTCCTTCAGAATACGTTGACAATCTCAAAGATGAGGGCAGGGTTTGTGGCATCGTTGACCGGCTGCTCACCTACATGGAGAACAAAGGCTCCACAGAAGAAATTTGCCGTGTCTACCTGCGCAGAATCATGCACACCTACTACAAGTTTGACTACAAAGCTCACAGACGCAGCCTGGGCCTGCAGGGAGAGACCAAGGTGAGAGACGGCACTGTGCAGAATCAGAACTTTCTTTTCTTGACAAACATCTGCATCATGATGCTATTTTTATGATGTTTAATGAAATGTTATGCATAAGGTGTAAAATGGTGTGCTGAAGTGATTTTCTGTTGTGTAGTCCGAGCAGGACCAGGAGGAGAGCGAGGGAGAGGACAGCGCTGTGATCATGGACCGCCTCTGCAAGTTCATCTACGCCAAGGATCGCACCGACCGTATCCGTACCTGTGCTATCCTCTGCCACATATATCACCATGCTCTGCACTCACGCTGGTACCAGGCACGTGACCTGATGCTGATGAGTCACCTGCAGGACAACATCCAACACGCTGACCCACCTGTACAGGTAGGCACTCGTAATCATTATTTCTTCATATGAACGTGTTCTGACTCTAACTATTAGTTGTATATACAGATCGCCTGTTTTAACCGTTTTCCCCTCCTCCTACCAGATCCTGTACAACAGAACAATGGTCCAACTTGGCATTTGTGCATTTAGGCAGGGCATGATTAAAGATGCCCACAATGCACTGCTGGACATTCAGTCCTCTGGCCGTGCCAAGGAGCTGCTGGGTCAAGGTCTGCTCATGAGGAACATGCAGGAGAGGAATGCAGAGCAGGAGAAGATTGAAAAGCGAAGACAAGTAAGTGCTGTCTGACCAGAGCAGTTAACTCTAACTAACATGTTGGTTTCTCTGTCAGTGTTGACCTGCTTGTAACCTGGATTTACTCTGTGAGTGAGTGAATTTTTGGGCCCCTCTCTCACAGCTGCAGGACAGATTTCCAGAAGATTTCATACAATTGTTCATGTGCACTTGGTGACTAGTTACTTTTTTGTTTTTTCCCTAAATGGGCCTTGACCTCACATTAATGTGCCAACTATTCCATGGCGTCTCCAGCTGCCTGTGTCCACAATAGTGTGAAATCAAGGCTGTAATGAAACGACAAATGTTTGGGTCTTTATTTTTAAAACACTGATGTGTCAGACATCCATTAGATGATACACACATGCATCGTGACGTTTATCCTCCCTAATAGGTGCCGTTCCACATGCACATCAACCTGGAGCTGCTGGAGTGTGTGTACCTGGTGTCAGCCATGCTGCTGGAAATACCCTACATGGCCGCCCATGAGTTTGATGCCCGCCGCCGGATGATCAGCAAGCAGTTCCACCACCAGCTCAGGGTCGGGGAGAGACAGCCCCTGCTAGGTACGAAACGCATCACGAGAGCTCGTTGTAGCAGGAAGTTTCATCCACAGAGGATAACCACAGCTTTATTTGTCCTCCAGGACCCCCAGAGAGCATGAGGGAGCACGTGGTGGCAGCCAGCAAAGCCATGAAGATGGGAGACTGGCGTACCTGCCACTCTTTCATCATCAATGAGAAGATGAACAGTAAGGTTTGGGACCTGTTCCCCGAGGCACAGAGAGTACGCGAGATGCTCGTCAGGTTAGCATACACTGCCCCTGTTCATCACTTGGTTCATTCACCAGTGTGATAATCCCACTTAGACGTCCTTATGTTTTGTTTTTTGTTTTTTTAATAGAGATTGACAGACCACGTGACTTTCGCGCATTGCATGCCGGTAACTCGTGGCAAAACAATCCAAGTACCTGCATCAAATGCAAGCATTTGCAGCACCGCAAAACGTTCATTCTTCGGTTCCAATAAATTCTTGCTTTTTCTTTGCCCCACAAAAAGGTATGTACAAAACGAAGGAGAACAATGCCGGTCCGTACAAAGACAGACTTAATGAAAAGTCAAAGAAAAGATACGAGGAAAAAAATCAAACCAGTGAAAGTGTTAGATCCTTACGAGCACACAGAGGGACAAAATACGTTAGCGTGCTGCCCAACTTCACCACGCTCATATTTATAATTATACGGTTCTTGGAGTGAGCGCATACACTCGTGAAGTTTAGTAACTTCAGGTCACTGCAACAAGCCCAGGTACAGTTTACCGACGGATGGGTACAGGACCTTGAAATGCACCGTGTAGAAAGTAAAGACCATCGTACATATAAGTTTACCAGTCTCACAAATCGTCCTCATAGATACACATTCGTTAACCGTTTATTAATAGGACCTTTGAGCTCAATGGTAATTAATTAGTAGTAGAAATAATTTCTGGTACCCATCACAGAAATGTAGCAGTGACAATAATACTGTATGCTGTAATCGCACTGGGCAATTAGTGATACAAAAAACCTGTTTTATCCTGTGAATAAAAGTATATGTTTTTGTCAATGTACCATGGTAATAACAGAAGAGAAACACAATATTGTGTCAGGACAATTCACTATTTATGCACAATAAATAAAGGAGCATAGCGCGACAATTTCTGTTCAGCACCAGACCTTCTTGTAACCTATATCACCAATTATGTTAAGAAAAATGACGCATTAACTACAACAGCAGACTGACCTTTGTGGAAATGCTTGGAGCAGACTAACCTGTGAGCTGGAGGGTTCTGGGACGTTATATTTTGTCTTTGAATGGCTGCAATCCAGGCCACCCGTTGCCTCTTTGTTACTTCGGAAACAGGACTCGAACAATTTCTCTTCAACGACATAATCCGATAACAACCGATCTCTTTACCCGTCGGCTTCCCGTGGCTGTCATGCGACCGGCTATTGCAGTTAATAATATAACAGCTTCTTGACATTTTTTGTGTTTCTTTTTATCGCTGTGTAACTGATTTCAATTGAAAGCCTGCGTGCGCTAGTACCTCTTGCCACGAGTTCCCAGAATCCTTTGCGGTTTTACCCCTGAGTGACATCACATTTTCAATCTCTATAGGAAAATCCAAGAAGAGTCACTGAGGACCTATCTGTTCACCTACAGCAGTGTATACGACTCCATCAGGTGAGCACAGATGTACAGTGGGGCAAAAAAGTATTTAGTCAGCCACCGATTGTGCAAGTTCCCCCACCTAAAATGATGACAGAGGTCAGTAATTTGCACCAGAGGTACACTTCAACTGTGAGAGACAGAATGTGAAAAAAAAATCCATGAATTCACATGGTAGGATTTGTAAAGAATTTATTCGTAAATCAGGGTGGAAAATAAGTATTTGGTCAATAACAAAAATACAACTCAATACTTTGTAACATGACCTTTGTTGGCAATAACAGAGGTCAAACGTTTACTATAGGTCTTTACCAGGTTTGCACACACAGTAGCTGGTATTTTGGCCCATTCCTCCATGCAGATCTTCTCGAGAGCAGTGATGTTTTGGGGCTGTCGCCGAGCAACACGGACTTTCAACTCCCGCCACAGATTTTCTATGGGGTTGAGGTCTGGAGATTGGCTAGGCCACTCCAGGACTTTCAAATGCTTCTTACGGAGCCACTCCTTTGTTGCCCGGGCGGTGTGTTTTGGATCATTGTCATGTTGGAAGACCCAGCCTCGTTTCATCTTCAAAGTTCTCACTGATGGAAGGAGGTTTTGGCTCAAAATCTCACGATACATGGCCCCATTCATTCTGTCCTTAACACGGATCAGTCGTCCTGTCCCCTTGGCAGAAAAACAGCCCCATAGCATGATGTTTCCACCCCCATGCTTCACAGTAGGTATGGTGTTCTTGGGCTGCAACTCAGTATTCTTCTTCCTCCAAACACCACGAGTTGAGTTTATACCAAAAAGTTCTACTTTGGTTTCATCTGACCACATGACATTCTCCCAATCCTCTGCTGTATCATCCATGTGCTCTCTGGCAAACTTCAGACGGGCCTGGACATGCACTGGCTTCAGCAGCGGAACACGTCTGGCACTGCGGGATTTGATTCCCTGCCGTTGTAGTGTGTTACTGATGGTGACCTTTGTTACTTTGGTCCCAGCTCTCTGCAGGTCATTCACCAGGTCCCCCCGTGTGGTTCTGGGATCTTTGCTCACCGTTCTCATGATCATTTTGACCCCACGGGATGAGATCTTGCGTGGAGCCCCAGATGGTGGGACATTATCAGTGGTCTTGTATGTCTTCCATTTTCTGATGATTGCTCCCACAGTTGATTTTTTCACACCAAGCTGCTTGCCTATTGTAGATTCACTCTTCCCAGTCTGGTGCAGGTCTACAATACTTTTCCTGGTGTCCTTCGAAAGCTCTTTGGTCTTGGCCATGGCGGAGTTTGGAGTCTGACTGTTTGAGGCTGTGGACAGGTGTCTTTTATACAGATGATGAGTTCAAACAGGTGCCATTCATACAGGTAACGAGTGGGGGACAGAAAAGCTTCTTACAGAAGACGTTACAGGTCTGTGAGAGCCAGAGATTTTCCTTGTTTGAGGTGACCAAATACTTATTTTCCACCCTAATTTACGAATAAATTCTTTACAAATCCTACCATGTGGATTCATGGATTTTTTTTTTTCTTCACATTCTGTCTCTCACAGTTGAAGTGTACCTCTGGTGCAAATTACTGACCTCTGTCATCATTTTAGGTGGGGGAACTTGCACAATCGGTGGCTGACTAAATACTTTTTTGCCCCACTGTATTAGTTTCATCAGTCTTTACTAAACCACAGATTTCTGTAGACCACTGCAGCTTCCCCACAGACCAAAGATGATCGGTCACTGTTCTGCCAAACCTTAATTTTACTACGCTTGTCTGTCCTTCAGCATGGCTACGCTGTCTGAGATGTTTGAATTGGAGATGCCCACAGTCCACAGCATAATCAGCAAGATGATCATCAACGAGGAGCTGATGGTAGGACTCGACGTTTCTGTTCTGTGGACTGAAAATATAGACACAGCAGTCTCATGGGGGCTTTTATATTTGAGTGTTTATATTTGTGATTACTTTCTATCTGCCCTTAACGTGGGTCCCCCTCTTTTCTCTTCAAAATAGGCGTCACTCGACCAGCCCACACAGACGGTAGTGATGCACCGCACTGAGCCAACGTCTCTGCAGAACATGGCTCTGCAGTTGGCAGAGAAACTGGGCAACTTGGTGGAGAACAACGAGCGCGTCTTTGACCTCAAACAGGGCGTCTATGGAGGTTACTTCAACAGGGGTAAGTTCATCTTGTTCTCACAGTACTTTGGGAACTTATTTTTAACCTTTCTGAACCATTTCTTTGTGTACTTTTGTTATCATAGGCTAATCTTGCTATTAGATGATAATGAGCTTTTATTTGTATTACAGATCAGAAAGGTGGCTACCAACAGAAGCAATCCTACCAGAGAGGTATGTTAAATTTCACTGAGGTTGTTTCCTGTTTCATATGTTAATGAGGTTGGGTTATGTTTTCAGCAATAGATGCTATTTTAAATTCGTCCAATTGCAATTGCTAGAAAACATGCAAAGTCCTTCAGTGTAACACCTTTGTGTTTTGATTTATTTTGAGGTTTGTTTGTTTTTTTTCTTCTTTTGTTGTGATTTAATGAATTTGTGTGAACACTAATGAGATGATTGTTGTCTTTGTACAACCGCAGATCAGAAATCTTACCAGCAGAAGCAGTCGGGTTACCAGAGAGGCGGTTACAGGAATCAAAATCAAGGAAATTATTGAGCTTGAAGTTTGTGGATTTCAGTTTTTCCAGTAGAGCTGGTCTTCATTTCAAAACAAGATCAACACCCCATGTTTGTGTGCTTGGCTCTTGGCCGTGCTCCCTCAATAAAACTGTTTTGCTGCTACTCCAATGTCTGCTAGTGCTGCTTTGTCTCAGCAACTGCAGAATGTAATATTCCACTTCCAATAAATATGAAGTTTTATTATTTCTAACAGAAATTACTGATGTTACAGTGTGGCAGTACAGTTAAGGGATAAAAATGTGTTATTGACTAATATTTATCAAATAAATAAAGTGTGTTTTGGTGCTTGGTTTTTTGTTTTTTAATTCAGCACAAAGACACTAAAGCGTGGAACAAAATTTTTAAAAAATGTGTGGAAAACTGAGTCCTCCCCACACATTCAAAATCATTAACGTCTATGTTTATCAGGGTCGAGGGTTAATTACAAAGTGTTACTTCTTTTGTGGCATACATACAAGCCTTAGTGCTTCGGTAATTTTGGGTAAATACAAACCATGGGACAGTCACTGTGTCACTACCACTGACATTTATTACTGATTAGTCGATGCTTCACAGCAACTTGAATCACATTCTGGCGAAGCAGTGGAAAGTTGTTTATTAAATTCCCCAATAATCTTGCAATAGCAGCTTACTCTGTAGAGAAGTTTGAATCCGTTTCTTCGGTCTAGTTTTATAAATCCTCATTTCTGAGCATCATGTTCTTTTGTTTAATTACATTTCATAAGCATTTCATACATTAAAGTACACAAAAGCAATCTTTTGATACCCTGTCCATCAAATACAGTGTTCTCTCATGATCCGATCTTTATTCAGTTCGCCCACACACATTAACATGATAGAATAGACTTTATTGTCATTGTACAGAGTACAACGAAATTGGAGTGCCACTCCCTTAATCATCATTGTTAATTAAATGTTTTATGCTTAATTCAGTTTACCTTCTGTTGCTAAATAACAGGCCCAGTAGTAGTTTTCAGGAGCTTTCTGGATATTACACCTATGAAAGTGTATTAAACAACAGTGCTCCCCACTAAGATCTTTTCCACACCACCTCCTGGTTGCAAACGTTAATATGAAACTGCAGAGTTCAGTGTTGGTTGATTGTTAGCTGCCTCCCCTTAAACTCAGCCGGAGTCTCCGATTGAGCTCTTTCCTCAGTAGGTCTCTTTCTTTCCGGATTCCCTGCAACACCGTGCGGTTCTCCTGAGCTCTGCGCACCAGGTAGGGCAGCGTTTCATCCACTGAGCCATAGGGCACTGACTTGTACACTGAGTAACCCTCCTTAGCTGGAAGGGAGAGGAGAGATGGGATGGTGTGATTGTCAGACAAGTCAAAACCATAGCTTCCTTTCTCAACCCACTCAGGCAGTGATTGTGCATAGGTTTATCAGTTTTGGTGATGAAAGCGTGGACAGTCATTTAATAGTTATGTTAAGTGCATCAGTCAAGCTGTGATGTGACGAAAATCAGCTCACCCAGTGTAAGGGAGACGTGGTCACACATGCCCAGCAGCTGACCGAAACACACTGAGCCTCCATCTCTGTCTATCCCCAACTCCTCCATTCTGATGAGCATGTGCACAACATTTATATATATTAAATGGCAGTGATTCCCAACCTTTAGGGGTCATAAATACATTTGAGGGTTGTACCTTTCTCACCAATAAACATCTATAAACCTCTATCACATAAGACCAAAGGAACACCCCTAAGCTTCATTTTATCCTTATTGTATTTGCTCTGCAAGACAGTTGAAAGTATCATAAATTCTGCAAAAAAGTAATTGTTTGTGATTATTTCTTGGATGTAACAATGCTACTTGGAAAAACAATCTTATTGTTGGAAAGCATTTGGTGGTTGAGCAGCAGAGTTGAGTATCTGAGTTAAGCCTGTGAAAAACTTGCCAGATATTGCCTGTCAAAGCTAAACAACAATCCAGTAACATTAACAGTTTGTTGTATTTTTATATTTAAAGTAGTTATGAAAACATTTGCTGATTTGTCAACTTTATCATTCTAGTATGGATTTTACATTGGCTCACCTATAACTGCACTTCCATTATGCATATGTTGCACACATACCACCTCGATTACGTCGTTGTGGATTCTCACCGTTTCACGGCTCGTCTCACTGACTCCTCGTTGTGAGTGGCCACTATGATCCTGTACCGCTCAGGTTCCTGGGATATGACGTCCAGCATCAAATCAAGGCATCCGTTATAACTGTTCAAGAAGACGTGAAATGTATCAAGAGTCGAATCAAGATAAACAAAAATGATAGTTGACTGTTGCACTCAGGACATTTTCCTTCTGTCTAACCAACCTGTCATTGGTGTCCTCCCAGCTCTGATGGATGGGGTCCTGGTGACCCTCTTTCATCGCTAGTTTTCTCTCTTTGTCCATGTAGGCTCCTCTCACCAGCTTGACACCCAAACAGAAACCCTCATTCTTGGATAGAGACAGCGCATCTAAGAGGAGAGACCTGGAGTCCTGATAACCACAGAATTTAACCACAGACACAAAAAATTATAATTAAAACCATTAACTGTCTCAGTGCAAGTGACATAAAGTGTCTGATATTTGATGATAATATGAGAAGAGAAATAAAGATAAAGATAGTTACCTTCAGGTAACATTGATATGTGTTCCAGATCCAGGTACCATCTTTGTTAAATTTCTTCATCATTGCCATGGCGACAAGAGAGAGGGCGGGGTTCATGTAGGTGTACTCAGCATCAACCAGGACTCTGACTTTGTTCACACTTGCCTAAAAAAAGTTTTATTCATTTCATTCAAAATTTGCATCTACACTTATTAAATTTGCTTCATGTGTCAAAGTGGGCGTATTGTGCTTCTCTCTGTTTTCTTTAATAAATATTCAATTACAGTCGTGCATGATTTTAAAATAATATAATCCCCAACTATTTTTTGTATACTTGTGCCGAACTGACATCACTTTGAAATGGTCTCCCATTTATAATCACTTCAGGCACAGTCAGAGCTACAGTTTTGGCCCTGACTGAGGAGGTGGAGTTTACAACCAGCAAGTTCTGGTTAAGTCAGGAGAGGGGCAGCCAATCGGAACAAAGTGGGCTTCTAGGCAGAGGGCATTACAGAGACAAGCATTAATAGACCGTCTAAATGCCAATATTTGCATGAATTACATATTTAAAATTGTTTTTATTTGTTAAAACTGTGAATACTCTTGGTAAATCTCAGAATAAAAGTGTGTGAGCATAACAGGTCCCATCTATGGGAGCATTTGTTAAGTGTTCGATTGTCTCTCCCCTACCTCGGCTATCTTGTTGAGTCTCAGTAGGCCAGATCGTAAGTGGGCAGCTTCCTTTTCATCTAAACCGGGGAAGCTGATTGGCTGAAAGAGACGATTTTAGGCAAAACTTCTTTATATGGGAACTGAAAGGTGACACCTAAGAAACTGGATCACTTGTTGAATTGTGGACTCACCTCACCATCCATTGATCTGATGAGGAGATTCAGATCGTATGGCTGTTGCCTGATGATGTTTGTGAGTTTTACCTTTAATACAACACGTACATTTTCAGGAAATAAACAGTGTCAAAACTGAATAAAAACAGGTAAGGCAGATAGGTAGGGGGAGCTGGGTTTGCACATTCAAGAACAACCTGGAACAGCTGTGGATACACCAAACTCTGAAATGTGTGTCCTTATCTTTTTTCCCACACATTTGAAGCCTCTGATGTTAACACCCCAGTTCCCATACATCCAGAATACTCAGAAATGCCTCCACCTACCCACCCACTCAAAAAAAAAAAGTTTAAAGTCTCCTCGAGCATCTGTTCTAAAAAATAATAATATTAAGGACTGGGGACTCTGATTTGGAAGCCTTACACACAGCTCTGGGCTGAGCAGCGCTGTGATCTTCAGCTGCATCATCGGGTCTTTGCTCCAAGCGTTGCTGTGGGACATTCGCACACACTCCAGCATGGTGTCCATGTTGTTGTCGTATCTTTTCTCACTGCAGGCGATAAACCATAAACCGTAACATGAGAACCGCGAAGAGTGGACTTCACACTCAGGTGTAACAGCTGTGCACAGTTGTGTGTGTCGTGGGTTGGAGCTGAGTGTGAGGTCCTTTAACTTTTGTCCTCATACGCTTGAGATGCAGAGGCAGGAGGTGGGCTGGGACCTATACTGCAGACTTCAGACAGTCTACAAGCCACAATTCATAGAAACATACATAAACAAAAAAACGTATGAAATGTCTGAAATTATGTACAAATTAATGCAAACCTGTTGAGAAGAGATTTTAAGAAATTTCAAGATTTCAAGATAAAAATCCATCAATCTACGAGCAGTCTCAGCTTCCACAGAGGAAACACAGCTTCTATCAGACTCTCAGTGTGTATTGGATTCCTGTTGACCAAATTCAGAACATATATGAATATTTGACACTCTTTTCTTTGCCTATTTTTTATCAAAATAAATAAATACCACAAACATTTTATTTTATTTCATGTCTTTAATATTTGATAGGTGCAAGACAGATATTAAAGACATTGTTTGTAGCTGCACAAGTGAGCTATTGAGTTTGTAAGGCTGGCTTTGAGGGGAGCAATCTCTCCCACTCAACTGCTCTTTAAGCAAAAAACATCTGCATCAGATTTTTCTCACATTTGTGATTTGTGATGTGTTTCTTTCATGGTTGTGTGCAGTTAAATGAGCGTTTCTGTCTCTAGCAAAATTAGAAATGTATTTATTTGTTCTTGTATTTCAAAATCACATCATTGTTCAATTAAGTTAAGTTAATAAGTGTCCCAAAAACCTAAACGTCCACATGCATTGATCTAAAGTGTAGTGAAGGCTAAAATCTGCCCAGCAGCTGCGAAACTTCCAAGTACTAGGAACATTGAGTGAAAATTAAAAAGTGTCTTTTGAAGCAGCCTTTCAGCGACTTCTTAGACTCAGTCATACCCGGTGCTTTCTCCGAGGTCCTCCTCGATCGGCACGGCCAGCATGGGTCTCATTCCCTGCAGGCTCATCTTCTGCATGGACTGTGAGATTTCAGCCTCATTTTCTCCAGCCACAAACTGGGCATACACAGTGGGCCTCAGCAGCAAGGAAAACCCCCTTTTCCCCAGGAGCGTGCGTGCCACCGACATCAACTGAAATTAGCAGAAGAGGAAAGTAGTGAATGGATTGAATGCCAGATGTCAATTTGTATATTTTGAAGCTTTTCTGACAAACCGCAGTCTCACCTTTCCACAGTTATTAACCAGCGCTGGGAAGGAGCAGAGGCGGAAAACGCC